AGATCCTCGTCTTGTTGTTTGTTGAGGGATTATCTGTAGAGTCCCCGTGTGTGTGGGAATCTGGCGCAGGCCGTGTGTTAGAATCTGGTTAGTGCTGCCTAATCAACGAATCTAGTGTTGGTATGCTGTTGCCGACGCAACGGAGCTGAGGAGATTCCTTTCTCTGCAGACTGAGTGGCTCAGACTCGATATATCGATTGAAGCCTTTATTGTACTCTTCGTTTTAGTATATTATCTCCTTCTAGTCTATAGTGTTGTAATCTCCAGTGGGATCTCTACAATTACTGTTTGGTCAATCACTACCTCATATATATATCTCTGTCTGGCTATGCACTCTTATATTGGTGAGATATATAGTACTAAAAAAATATTAAAGAGGAAAGCGACTACAACTAGTTGTTATGATATGTTGAGGACTACTACTATGCAGCTCTATACGACAGTATTAGAGTAGAGAGAAAGGTGTATCTATTTGTAATATATCTATCCATAACTCCTGAAAATATGATATGATTGTTGATTATACAAGTATCTGTTATCTCTATCTGACTTCTCTCCGCCTCGGTCTCCGACTTAGCGCCTCGACCATAGTGAGCACGCGATGAGTAATTCTCTAGTCTCTTATGTCTCTATCCTCCAACGCGGAGAATGCCCCTACTATTGGTAATTGTAAGTCGCTTTGGATAATATGTTGAGCGTATCAAAAGTGAGAGAAGATGGAAATGTGTTGAGAGATGTATCCATAGATCTCTTAATGTTGCTCTCAGAGTGCACCAGATTGATGCTTTAAACTTCAATATTTAAAAAAAAATCTGGGGACATAGTTTCACCGGTGATTTGAGGAAAGAATTTGCTTTCGGAGAAAAGCAGAGCTCTGCAAAGAAACAGACTATGCAGAGCTGGAAATACAGGCATGAGCGCTCACATCTTCATTAAGCAGAAGCAACAGACTAAACTTCCTATAAAGCTGTCAAACACTTCCCGGTAGGAGGTAAAGGTGATAGTGGACGCTCAAGTGCATCACTTGCTAATCGTATAATTGCTTAAAATATCTTTAATCAAAAATATAGTCTCCATGTTCTAATATTTTCCAGTTGTTTAGGACTTTTAACACAGGATGGTTAACGTACAGTGGTGGAGTGGATTAAGTGTTTTTCTCTTTATTATAAAGTTCTCTTTATTGTTTATACAATCACGGGTCTGTTACTCTCAGGTTGTTATACTAAGGGGAAGGATTTTAGCTGTCCAGAATCTAGGTAAAGCTAACGCTGTGAATTATTCTCAGCTTTAGTTTCACTGACTCGTTCTGGATTCAGTATCTCTCCTGAACAAACCAAGGCCTCCGAGGACTTCTGTATTTCCTCAAATAATCGTAAATCCTTTCCTCCAGTTCTTGTGCAGCCTGACTTTGACGCTGACCTCATTCTGCCACACACACACCCCTGAGCTTTTCTCTTTCAGAGTTTATGGCATAAAATACACGTCATGGATCGTTGCTTTCATAAAAAAATCAATCCTTGTCAAAGCCTAATCAAATATACTGTATGCAAAGATGTAACTCCTAAACAACCCCGCCTGCATGATGTCATTCAAGGAGTTGCTGGGAATGTAGCTGTTAATCCGCTGGGAATTAAAGTTGAATCACAAGCAGGTTGTTGCTCGCTGGCATGATGGGCAAAGCACAAGATGGCCTCGTAACAGACAAACAAAACAACGTGACCACATACATATAACACAGTTCCTACTAGAACAATTATTAGCATGTACAAAACCGTCTAGGTTCGGGTCAGAAGTAGTGCAATTGTAGTTTACAGGAAGTTACTTTAGACATCTGTACAGGAGCAGTCTGTTGCAAGGGCTGGCAGAGGGTATGGAAGTTGCTTCTTCATGCACAGGGCGTCGCTCTGAGGACTCGCAGTCACTCAGTCTATTGTTCCCATTTTGGCAATCAGCTCATCGCAGATCTTGGTCAGTTCCTCCATCTCTTGATTCTATGGCAACACAACAAAGGATGACTATGTAAATATATACTTTTTTGTATGACTTAATATGACTTTTACTTGTAACAGAGTACTACTACACCCTGGTAGTACTACTTTTACTTAAGTACAAGATCGGAGAACTTCTCCCACCTCATTTCAAGCACTTAAAGTGGTGTGGCGAATTTGAAGCTAATGAACTTGTAGGATTTTAGCTTTTCTGAATTAGTTTCTTCATGGTTGATTGTACTTTTTGTAAGTTGTTTTGGATAAAGCATCAGCTAAATGTAATGTAATCTAGAATAAACCTGCAGAAAGATGAGGAATTATGTTACCTTCTGCTGCAGAGCTTGTTCCAGAGACTCGTTCTTCATCTGCTCCTTCCTCAAACTGGCCGTCATCGCCATGTTCTCTGAGCTCGCCTTTCCGCGCACCTGAGCGATCTCCTCATTGGCCCTGAGAAACGAGTGAAGCGAGGGAAATTAACAGCATCTCAAAACTGATAATTGTTTGTTAAAACTGGCCTGACAGGAGAATTGGACTTCATTTCAATCCCATACATACCTGTCTAGTTTCTCCTCAGCATGGATTTTGAGCGTCTGGTATCTCTGCTCCTCCTGCTTGACTCGGGCCAGATACTCCTGAGCACATTTCTTCAGCACCTCTTCATTCTGCACGAGGAAACAAAAAACAAGCACCGTGTTATTGCTGCTTTAAACCAGCTGTGATCAAGACATGTGGCTTTATTAAAGATTTGAATGCTGCACTAGTTGTTGAAGAAGAGAACAATTTCATAGGTTTGAGGCTCAGGTTTATCTAGTGACCTTTCAAAGGGGACATGTGCTGATTTTCAGGTTCAACTGCCTGTTCTTCAGCACCTCTTTCCCCCCTCTGTCTGAAACCAGAGCCTAGTCTGCTCTGATTGGTTAGCAGGCCGGCTCTGTTGTGATTGGTCAAACTCCCACCGTGGCAGACCATGAATGAAAACCTGTATAACAAACTACAGGAATGGGAAACCCCCCCAAAAAGGTATAATAGGTCCTCTTGAATGTAAACCTCTGCTACTCAACAACTGCCTCATCTGTATTGTGTTTATTACCCTCTTACAGCCCCCCCAATGTGTACCACTATCAGCTCAAACCGACATGGACTAGTTCTATGACTTACTTTCTTAAATCCCTCCAGGGTGCTCTTCAGATTTTCATATCGCCGAAACACGTCAGAGAGAGAGCGCTCCACAGAGTTCAGGTCTGCCATGGTGCTTTCTTTCTCCGCCGTCACAGCCTGCAAAGTCTTCTGGGAAATCTTGGTGTTGTGCTGCTCTTCCTCTGTGAAGAGCAAAGAAGAAGTTGTTATTGTTGACAGCCAAATCACCTACATTTTTTTATTTAGTCTGGTAACAGCAGGAAACATTGCATTCACATCAAAAACAAGGATACATCAAACATAAAGAGAAAAGGCTTGAAATGAATGTATTGTAATTACCGATTCGTTTCTTCTGCGTTAAAACAATGTGGAATAATGTGACCGTGTCTGACACTCACAGTACATGATACACACTGTGGCACTTGGATCATTACAGTAACCAGTGAAACGTACGTTTGCATAACGTTTTTTCCTAACATTCCTACTCACCAATCATCTGAGCAATTGTCTTCTCGTACTCTGCAACAATCTTCCTGTAGAAACAAAACACACGAGATGTTAACCTAATAGTTTGACAGATTGTAAACAGATTTTTACCGTCAATCAGAAATAGCTGAATAAAAACATCATGCATCAAAATGTTTTCTCACCTCATCTCGCTGACTTCTTGTTTGCTGTCCTCGTACTTTTTCTTCCAGTCGTTTGCCACTGCCTCTTTAGTGATGATCTGAAACGAGATGTAAGTGTACATTTAAAGAAAATACTTAAAAGATCCATTCAGGGAATACCAACAGGCTGACGACACATTTGAAGTTGGATGAGTTAACAGTTCCTACCTCCTCTCTGATGAGGGTGAGAACGGCCTGTTTTTCTGCCTCACTGATGCAGATGGAATCCAGGACCTGACTTCCTGTTTTCTTCATTTCCCCTCCCTCCGCTCTGTTCTTCTGCTCGCATGGGTCCTCGAACTGCTGCAGGCAGAAGGAAATCAGTTTTATTATACATCCAGAGGTCTAAAAGGGGCTCTAAATAAATACACAAAAGTATTCAGGACAAATACACAAGTGGCATGGATGCGATTATTCAAACCTTTGTTCTGGCTTTTTTGTTGTTAAAGCTGTCCTATAATATTTATCTTTCACAAGTAGGAAACTAACTGTACAGTACGTGCTTAGAGAAGCCATTTCAAACCCTTCAGTTGTACCCTTTCACCAATAAGTTACAATGCAACAATTTGTTGTAGTAGAAAACAAATAGCAACATTAATGTATGTAATAAAGTGCAAATTATTCAAATTGCTTCACTGTCATTTTGAACCCTGAACCCCCTCATCTCAATCCTTTCTTCTCCTCGTCTCCAAGTCCCTTCTCGTCTCTTGCTTTGTACCTTCCTGGATTATAAGAGCCATATTCTAGTCCCTCAGATCCACCGCAGCCGGACTCCTATCCATTCCCACATCCACACTCTGCAGCTTTGGGGACGGAGTCTTCTCAGTGGCAGCTCCTAGGCTCTGGAATTCCCTCCCCCAAGATCTCCGTGACTCTGAGTCCCTCACAGCCTTTCAGTCCCGCCTCAAAACACATCTTTTCAACTCGGTCTACCTGTGAGACTGACCGTTGAGCGGCCCGACCAAGGAAGGAGGCAGAGGCAGAACGTC